AATACAGTAAAATAAACATTTATCAAGAACCTGCATTCCAGACACTATGCTAATCACTGATGATACAAATATTTCTTAATATTTAGAAAGACAGATCCTGCCCTCGAGAAGCTGGTACCCAGAGGGCATGATGATGGCAGAGATGGGAAATTAAGAGTTTGATGGGCTTCTGAGCCCTCTTTTTATGTAGGTTTTGGGAGGTGCTTTTTGCTCTGCCCTCCAATGAGATAAGCAGAGGCTACTTATATAAATTGTGCTCCTGGTTCTGCTCACTTTGTTCTGCATCACTTCATACAGTGTTCCTAAGTTTGTATGAAAACACATCTTTCAGCATTTCTTACAATGCAATAATGTTCCACTACATGCATATAGCAAAATTTGTTTGGCTATTCCCCAGTTGATGGGAAGCCACTTACTTTCCAGTTCTCTGGTATAACAAAAAGGGCTATTAAAAATTTTTTGGTACATATAGGTCCTTTTCCTTTCTTTGACCTCTTTGAGGTACAGGCCTAGTATTGATATACTTTAACCAAAGGATATGGATAGTTTAGTGAGTCTGATGCTTTTCAAACTGTCTTTCCTTGATTTTTTTTTTCCGGATCAGTTGTTTCTGAGATATATATATATATCTTACATTTTCTTTTTTTTTTAACAATGATAAACAGTTTTTATTCAGGCAATGAAACACGAAAAAAATATATTAGTACTTATTATAATAATTCCATTTGTGTAAGTATAACTCTTAAAAATATTTACCTAATGTATAAAAAGGGAAATTATTATGCATATAAAATTTATATAGATGATCATTACATATACAATGCAATCCTGGTAGGAGTCAAGCAGCTTTCAATCCTCCCTATGGGAGGGTAATCAATCACTGTATGGCAGTCACAGGGGCACAGCAGAAGCAGATGTTGAATTAGGATAGTCACTTATTGGCCCATGTGTTACTATACATGGAAATCTACTGGCAATGTACTCATGCTGACAGCAACACTGAGGAACATACAGGCACCTTTGAGAATTAAAAAGGGCATCTAGGTTCTACCACAAGGAGGAGAAGACTCCAGGTTAGACTGAGTTAAGACTTGGGGGTTGGCTTAGAGTTCTCATGACTACAAGACCATTTGGGTTATCAAGTAAATACAGAAGATTACAGTTATTAGCCTGGGCACTCCATAAGGGCAGGAACTATCTGAACCTTAGTACCAACACAGACTTAATACATGTTTGTCAAACTGATTTAAGGATTTTGACTAGCAGAGAACTTCTTTAGATTGGATTCTAGATGCCACTTCAGGCAGAGAGCAATACAGTCTTTAATAGCTCTAAAAATAAAGAACAATTCAAAATATGAGAATGGCTTGGCTGCATGCCTGGCTTGTTTGTATTTAGGTGACAGAATACCGCAGTTGATCATGCACTTAGTATGAGATAACCATAGAAACACGTACCTTACGTTTTCTTATATTTTTTTCAATCTTTTGATTTTGTTGTAGTACTTCTCATTGTCTCATAAAGTCATTTGAGTTCTGTTTGGTTCATTCCAATTTTCAGGAATCCATTGTTTGGATTGTTTTCTCTCTCTGTTCTAAAGAAATTTATTCTTTCAATTTTTTTCTCCAGAGTTCTTATTTCATTTTTAATATCTTCTTCATTCCTTCCTGATACTCTTGTAGTCCTTGTGACCAAACCATTTTTTCCCTCTGACATTCTACTCGTAAGTTCTTGTACTTCTGAGTTTTCCTCTTAGGGAAAAATTTGGATTCATGTTTATTCATTATGCTTCATATTTACTCAAATATCCAGCCTCAGTTCCTGATTTGGGATCTGTGAGAGGACCAATATCCCTTGCCACACTTTTGAATGAGGTAGCAAGGCCCTATTTGGTTCTGACTCACTTTCCTAACTTCCACTTCTCATGTGTCTAGGCCCAAAGATATGGCAAGCTTCAGTGTCACCATCAGAGCCTTAAGAATGACTGTGCAAAGACAAGATGCCTAACTCTTCCTATCCTGTCTCTTCATTTGGCTTCTGCACTGTCTTGCTCTTTCTATCTCTTTAGCTTCCCCTTCTTCTCTATTTCCTCTGCAGCTCCTCATTCCTGAACTGAATTGTTTAATTTGTTCTCAAAAACACGGGAAGTCTGATTTTTTTTTCTCTATAAGTGTAAGAAATTCTGGTTGTGAAGACTATTAATCTAGTTTTATAATTTCATCATTGAAATGCTTGAAATAAATAAGTATAAATATAAATATATATATATATATATAAATATATATATATATAAATATATAAGTATAAATAAATGAGTATTGCAAAAACAACAACAACAACAACAAACTAATATCTAATGTCTAAGGACTAATGTCATCCCTGGAGTTTCTCTACTGTGTCCCCTAGGGCCTCCTTGGAATCATGTCTACTGCTCTCGCTAAGGTTTTCGTAGTCTAAGTACTTCGAAAGGTTTTCATGCTTAGGGCTTCTGGGAAAGGAAAAGAGGAAAGGAATAAGGATTTATATAGCACCTACTATGTGTCAAGTACTGTGTCAAGCACTTTAGAAATGTTATCTCATTTGAGCCTCACAACAACCTTGTGAGTTAGGTGCTGTTATTTTCTCCATTTTACAGTACAGGAAACTGAGGCAAACAGAGATTAAGTGACTTGCCCAGAGTCATACAGCTAGTAAATATCTGAGGCTAGATTTAAATTTGGGTCTTCCTGACTCCAGGCCCAGCACTCTATTCACTGAGGCACCTGGCTATCTGTTTACCTACATTTATGCTGGCTTCTTTGGCAAGAGCCCTATTCCATCATTCATAGCTTCTGGTTATCTTTTTTTGTTCAGTCCAGGGTAGATGAAGAAGCTTGATGAAGTTTTTCTTTAAAATCTTTGGGTCACTGTTCAATCTGGCAGCCTTTTTAGATCTATGCTGAAGTAAATGTAGGAGAAATGAGCTCCTCTACACCTTTTACCTGGCCATCTTCACCTGATGTCTCCATTCCCCCTCTCTTTCTCTACCGTCTCTGTATTTTATTCTCTAATGGTTACAGACATGCCCAGATCTCAACCATCATTAAAAAACCCTCACTAGATCCTTCCATATTGGCAAGCTATTATCCCTTTTATTTATTATTTATGCTTATTAATGTAAATATTAATTATTATCCTTATTATCCCAAGCTATGTCTCCTCTCTTTCACAGAACCTATCCTAGGAAAAGTTCTCTATACTCATTGCTTCTACTTTCTCTCCTCTCACTCTTCAATCCCTTGCATTCTGGTTTCTGACTTCACCTAACTGAAGGTGCTCTCTCCAGAGTTACAAATAATCTATCCCTTAATTGCCAAATTAAAGACTTTTTTTTATCTTCATCCTTCCTGATTTCTCTATTGCATTTGCCACTGTTGATCACTCTCTCCTCCTGAATACTCTCTCCTCGTTCTCCTCCTACTTGTCAGTCTGCAAAAAAACCTTCCCAGTCTTCCTTAATTTAGTGCCTTTCCTCTGCAGATTAATTCCAATATATCTTGTATATAAGTTGTTTGTACATAGCTGTTAGCATGTTGTCTCTCCTTTTATACTCTGAGCTCCTTGACAGTATGATCTGTCTTTTACCTTCCTTGTATCCCTAGTACTTAGCACAGGGCCTAGCACATAACAAGTACCTAATAAACGCTTACTGACTTGACTTTTCATTCTTCTTTTTTGGATCACAATGTATACCCCATCCCTGAACTCTAGGTATCTCTCTATCTAAACTCCTCATTTCTCATGGATTCAATTACCATGTCTATGCAGATGACTGCCAGATCTGCACATCCATTCCTATCTCTCTTCTCCTGAGCTCCACTCCCATATTACTAATTGTTTATTGGACATTTCAATCAGGATGTTCCATAGACCTCTCAGACTCAATTATGTCCAAAAGAGAAATCATCTTTCCCCCAAAATCTACCCCTCTTCCAAAATTTCCTATTTCTTTCAAGACTACCACCATCCTTTCACTCTACCTTTACTCCCAATCATTTAATTAGCTGGCTAATCTTGTCTTTTCTATCTCCACCCACCTCTGACATGTACTCTGTGATCTTGGGCAAGTGTATTAACCTCTAAATGTTCTAGGCAACTCTCTTTTTTTTTTTTTTTTTTTTTTTTTTTTTTTTTTTTTTTT